AAGTACTCTAAACTGTATAAATAATGTAAAATTAAATTGAATTTATTAGCCAATCAGACAAACTTCTGCCTATGACAGCATAATTTGATAGGCCGAATACTTTCATTATATAAAGGTATAAAGTCCCTAAATATGTAATATTTATGGATAAACCATGAATAGAAAAATTAACTTTTTATAGGACTACACAAGTACCTTCTGGAAACTGTGGTGTATCAACCTGATACACAAGTACTAAAGTTCTTTAATAAAGATAAAAATAATTTACATTCATAATTTAAGCTAAACTACAGTTGTAAAAAGTTGTCTCAGAGACTCATTATCAAAGAAATATTTATCAGGATCGTATTTTGCCCTAACTTTTTCAAACTCATCTAGACGTTTTCCAATATTGTTACGCATATGCGGAATAATACCAGGCACATGTTCCCAAAGTTTACCCCAATGTGGCAGTGCATTATATTTCTTCATCCATCTTTCGGCTATTTCAATTGAAAAATCGAGATAACCTTGAGTATCATTAACAGACAAGAGTGTTATTAGGCAGTAATACGCATCTGGGTCTTTATCATATGTCGGAGCAAGCAGGCATTTGGACGCCTTATTGATTCGAAATTCTACTGAAAGATTTAACGGGTACTTGTTAACTGCAGCTAATTCATAAATCTAAAAAGTGTAAGGATAAAGTTAAGAATGTTTATTGATGAGATTATATAACATAATGTTTTATAAACATTACCCGTTTAATAATATGTTTGAGTTCGTCAATGGCATTTGAAAAATCCTTGATTTGGATAGTACAGTATAATTGTTAATTTGATGGTCGCAAAATTTGATGTATATTATTAGTAAACACATAACTGTATTTATAAATTAGAATTAATGTATTCCGAGCATTAATTTATCATAAACACAAATTTTCGAGCATATAAAATCAAAACAATTCTAAGAATTTCAAGGTACTCTATGCACACGCATCAAATTTAATTTTTTACGCTCAGTGAATGTTCAACCACCATAAAAAATTTGTCAATAAATGCTCAATAATTTATTCCAATCTCTAAACATCTACTTACATGATTGACCTTGAAGCAAAATTCTTGTTCCACACAAAGGAGGTAGTCGACACCGGACTGTGAAAATTAGAGAAAATTAAACCATTGCTTAAAAGTATTTCAAATAAAATTTAAAAACTATACCTGAAAATGAATTGCATCAGGCGCTTGTAAAATCTTTTCACTTTCATGATTAACACCAGCATTAAAAAGAAGATTAGTAATGTATGGGGTAGATTCCGGATGTTTAGCAATATGTTCATAAAGGTGATTCCCAAATTTGAGTCCAAAGCCTTGGAAGGCCGACGAAAATTTCACTTCAAGCTGATTCTCTGTAACTTTCTTATCGGTTCTTTTGTAAGTTTTTACCCAAAGCTTGTCATTTTTCTCTTGAAGGCCAGGTGCATTAAATGGCCAATATATAATTTCAATACTATCACAATTCAATACGTCATTTTTGAGGTTTTTTGCATTCCAATAATCAGAAATGTTTGGAAAACTATCTTTCATTATCAAATTAAACATTGGTTCTACCGTAAAAGTGAGCTTATATATAATTCCCAAGAGACCTTTAACATATAATCAATATTTAAAAATCGGTAAGTACATAATTTTGACTGTTTTTGGTTTGAAAAAAAAATTACCAAGACTTATTCTAGCAGCACCCATTTCAACAGGGTCTATCTCATCAGAAAACTCATGAAGTTCGCCATCGGATGTTACAATTTGAAAAGAGATTACCTTTTCTGAGATATTTGAATTTGCACATTTCGTACCATGAGAACCAGTTGATACAATGCCAGAGGTTGTTACAGTGTTCAATACAGTCGAAGAATCAAATGTTAATGGAGGATTATGTTTCCTTAACTTATCATCAAGATCTTCAAGATATACGCCTATAATTCAATCAAATATTAAAAGCAGAAACATGTATTTGCTAATCTCTAAGAACGTTCCCCTTACCAGCTTCGGTGGTGACCGTCCAAGTTTTCAACTTTTCATTATATTGAATCTCAATATCATTTAAATTAGTAACTATTACCAAGTATCCTTTAGTAACGCTAAGGCTACTCCAAGTATGACCAGCAGCAGCACAACGAATTTTCTTATTATTCTCTTTTGCTTTTTTTACAATTGTTTTTAAATCATGTAAATTGACAGGTCGAAAAATTTCATCAGGAGTACATTTTTGATTTCCATCCCAATTATGCCAATCTTTTTCACTAAAATGTTCAATATTGCTTATGACCTTAGTGAAAGCATCTTTTACAAGTGCCATGTTTGATAGCAGTAGCTGTTTGGTAATTCTGTTCTCGAATCTATATATATTATATTATATATATTAAAAAAACAAAACTTCTGCAAGGTGGGAGGACATTGCATATTCGTGTAGCATTCGTGCACACATACACAAGTAAAATGATTGCTGCCAAGGGAAAATGATACTTCAGACTTTCAATTATATTTTGTATCAGACACAATTTATCTAATTTATTAACGTTTGCGTCCGAGATAAAATATAATTGAAATCCCGAAGTATCATTTCCCTTGGCGGCACTCAAATGATATAAATAAGAAGTCAATAGGGTTCCTGATAGCTGCCAAATTTAGCCCTATTGGTATCCTATTGCCTACGGATTTTGCGAAAAAGGAGGTCAATAGGGTTACCTTATTATAAAATATTTAATAAATGTAACTTACTATTGATTAAATAATTTAAATCAGTAAAAACATCATGTAATATGAAGTCAATCTGGCAATAATCAAGTAACCCTATTGGCCTCCTTTTGCGCCAAAATACCAATAGGGCAGCAATTGAGTAATCCCTATTGAATATCATTTTACTTTTGATATGTATAGTCGCGGGTCTAATATATAAACCCCGACAAGTCTCTATAAAAGACAATGGCCTTTGCATATCGCATAACATATTTATGTAAAATATTTATTCCTTACTGTATATCCCATCGTTTAAATACTAGCTTTAAAATTCAGAAATTGTTTCAATTTACATGCATATATGTTGTATATGCGTAACTAATTTAGATATCCGAAGTACCAAAAATTGATAATTCATCTTTTTCTGGTTAGTCTTTATTTACAACATATTCCAAATGGATAAACTTATAATTCCTGAACAACCTTTATTCGTAACATGCTTCATAACTTTGCGTCTCGAATTGATTCGCTTGAATCTGGATTATCAGAAGCTGATAGGTGTCTGCAATATATATGCAGGGATATGTTGTGTGACCAGATTCGGAATTTTGATTAGATCTTGCATGGTTGTATCCTCCGCTACGCATCGGACATAGTAATGCTCTCAATCTTCGTTGTTCCTTCTTAATTTATCAATATCTCTTCCAATCTTTCGTTGCATTTTTTTTTAAATGTTTTCATCACACTTTTTAATTTTCATTACAGTATTTAAACATTATGGCATCCCAGCATAGTCAATACAGCAGCACAGTTTATAGTTATTGCAGAAACCGCAAATGTCATAACTGTAAATAAAATCTAACATCATATATATAATGCACACAAAAAGAATCCTGAAATATAAACACGCTGTTTACCAAGCAACCCAAAATATGCCCATAAAAACAGAGAAGGAAGATTAAATATCATACAGACCAACTAAATATAAAAATCGCAGACACACATAGTTGAAGCCATTCTTTTCGGTTCATTTCTGTAAAACTGGTAAACATGAAAAAAACGGTATTATGTAATTAATAAAGATCACAAAACCTAAAAATTATTAATGGTTGTCTATAAATAAAAAAGACCAAGATCTCTCAAAATCTGATTAATCATAAATAAACAGCAGAAAGCGTTAATGTTACACATATATTAAAACTGGCGAGGGATTATATCCATCACAATTGAATCCAACATAAATAATTCCGTTTGTGATTTATCACAGGAGAGAGGAATTCATTTCGGATCGGGCACTGTCTTTGCTGTATCGTAAATACGTACGTATCATAAATTTAGTAAATTTTCACTACAAACATTAGGGTTCGGCGTATTTTGTTATACCGTTACACCAGATCTTGGCATTTACGAAATTTGTGCCAGGTTATGCATGTCACCGATCATCGTGTAACAATTGTTGGAGTAACCTAGCTGGGATGAAAATTTTTAAACTTTGAGCAAAAATATCCCAATATCTATTTATTAAAATCGATACAGTTTTTTGTTATTTAATTATATGTATCAATGAAATTAAAATAAAAAAAATATCATCGAATTTATATAAGTAATTATTGAGATATCATCGTTCAAAGTTTGGAAAAACTTAGCCGCAGTTTTTATTTTGATAATCACCTAAATTTTTTTTGAGCTTTGAGCGATGATATCTAGATAACTCCCCGTTTAAATCTATGAACTCTTTTTTATTTAGATTCTGTAAATTAATAGAATTAAAAAATTTTTTTTTATCAAATTTTGTTAAGCAGCCACTGAGATATCATCGCTCAAAGTTCAAAAAAAATTTAAGCAATTAGTAAGACAAAGACCGCGGGTAAATTTTTTCTAAACTTTGAGCGATAGTATCTCAATAATTACTTATCTAAATTCGATGAAAGTTTTTTATTTTAATTCTATTGTTTCATATAATTAAATTAAAAACTTTTTTATCGATATTAAATAAGTGGTTATTGAGATATTTTCGCTCAAAGGTTGAAAATTTTCATACAGCATGAGAATTGGAAATTTTTACAGATTTCGTAAATGCCGAGTGATGATGCTTAGGGTTCTTGGCACGATAAAAAAAAATTTGGCTTGCCAGATTCTAAATTTCATGTCAAATGCATGCCATGGCATGTCATAATATAAAGAATATTCAGAAATCATATCTCCTGTTTTGTTACTTGATCGCTCGGTTACTTGATCACCCGGTTACAATTTCAAAATACTACACTATATGCAGGGTTGGCAATAGACTATGATGGGTTTGAGAGAAATGTCAATAGACATTGTCTAATGACATTCTCTAAGCCACATTTTGATCCATTGGCCAATATAGACTATATGGGATTTGCCTCGCTGCTCACGTGATCCACAGCTGGTTTTTAGCATCACCAACTTATTCCTTTCTTTGACATTCAGACAGTCTAGTCGAGCTATCAAAGTGCTTACCTTGATATTGTTACAGTGGTAATGTAAGTGCGATATGATGGAGAATTATGCTGGGCTGTGTGAAACTTAAAATCAGTACAAGTCTTTTATCTGTAAATATAATTTTCTGAAAATGTATATACTTACTCTTTTGTTATCAAATATCATAGCTGTATTAGTGTAATCATATCAAGATCCTGTAATAGTTTCAATGATCCATAGTTTCATTTTTGAAAACTAACAGTAGTATTAGTAAACAAAACTAAAAGTTTCAAGAATCTAAAGTTTGATTATTATACTTTTTAGTAGTTCATCAAGTATAAAAGAAAGGTCTTCAAGTCTTTAATAAAATTTCCAGTTTTTGATGTTTTAAATGGTTTAATAGAAGAATCAATTTCTCAAGTATTGAAATTATTCTGTTGTTATAATCTTATTTATTTAATAAAAAACTAATTTATATCTATTATATTAAAAAATTTATTACATTTATTTTATTACTTCAAAGTATTGTAATCATTATTATAATTAAATTATTATACAATAGTATATAAAAAAATGCATGTAGTTTATAAAATAGTAAGATTTATATAATTATATATATTATTAATTACTTTAAAACTTATAATTATCAAAAAATTGCTTTGAAAATATAAGGTATAATTAATTGATATTACTTTAAAAATCTTATATTTATATAATAGGTGATATTTTTCAACTCTTTCTGATGATTACTTGAACCAAGTTGGCACTGAAAGTAGATTGAAGACTCTGGCTCCAAAGTAAATAATATTCTTAGTTTTACATTAAGTAAACTTGCTGTTGACAAAGCTCAAGTATGTGATACACCAAGGAGTAGATAAAACTTAAGTGGTTCTTGCCTTGGGTCAAGCTTTTTGTATGGTGGACTCCCTCACATATTTGGTATCCAAACTGGAAGGATATTCTGGAAGCAAGTAGAGACAAAATCAGTTCTCTGGTTAAGAATATTAGAAGCAGAAGAAAAAGAAGAACAACTAGAAAAACTCTCCTTAACTTGGATTTTTGCAACAATGATATACTCCTTTTCATCTTTTTTTGTTTTTTTTTTTCGAAAAGTAGGAATTTGGCTCACCCTCATCAAAAGATCGACATTGTGCATCACTTCTTTTTGTAGTTACATGCTTATTTGGACATGGCGAATAAGGAAAATAACAAACACGTAAGTCAGCCAATTATGTAGAGCAGATCAGAAAAGGATTTAATTCAGAAAGACCAAAGATATATTGAGATATACATATATTCCGAGGCCATGTACATAATATTTTTTTTAAAAAAAAGAGTTACAAGAGTTTATGAAGAATTTGACCGCTTAAGTGCACTCCAAACCTTGGCACAGTACTCCACCTACTTGAAGATTTCTCCTATATAGAAAGTGCCTGGCTCGAACTTCACTTTACAAGTGAATACAGTTTTCATTCTAGTTAAGAGTACCTAGTTTCTAGAGAATAACCATAGTCTATAAAAATATGAAAACATTGTAGTGAGCAGCAATTATAGAATAGAGTTTTATCCTATTAGCAGGTTTTCTCTTTTATTCTCCTTATAGATTAGTTTCATTTTCTTTTTGTTTAGTTTTATTTTACTTTCCATTTTCATTTCTTCCTTTTCCAACTTTAAAATCAATTTCTTTTTTTTTTGTTTTTCTCTTCCCTATGAGAAGATGTCTCCAGATTGGCAATATCCTATTGTGGGGCAGGGTTAAATGAGTCATAATTTCTAGTTCTAACTGGATTAGTGCAGCAGATCACATTTAGGTACTATTTGGGTGGCCAGATGATAGTAGACTTATAAATTAAATGATATTCTGTATTTACATATATAGTTACAAATGGTTTAATAAAGTACTATCATGACTGCTTAAGAAAAAAAAAAAAAAAAAATAGGTGATATTTTTCTTATAACTAGTTTTATAATTAGCTATTTAATTACTTTTAAATATTAATAAACAAATCTACAAACTAATTTGAAAACTATGACATATTAAATTCTCCAACTAAAAAAAATATAACAAATCCTACTTATATATTAAAACAATATTAGTTATAGCAATATATAATTTTAACAAGCCAGAGCTTTTAAACAATATTACCAAGCCTAAGCATACTTATACCTATGTGA